GGGCAAGTGGACCCCGGCCACTCTGGTAACCTAGCTCCCGCGTAGTTTCCCCCCCAAAAAAAAACAAACAAAGAGTCACCTGAACTTCAGTTAAGTCCAGATGGAGCCTCAGGGACATGGTCCCACTAACAAGGGGATCGAATAGAAAAGAGCTTGTGTGGCGGTTGAGCGACCCAAATCCTGCTGTGCAGTACTCATTGATCCCAAGGTCAGGTTTCTCTCAGTTTCACCTCACACTACCTACCTACCACTGCTAATTATAGTCATATAGGGAACCCCGAGGGAGCCAGAACCCTGTTCACGAGAGAACATGCATGGGCAAGTGGGCGATACCCGCCAGGGGACTGCTGGTAGCGTCAGGGACCATGCCAACAGGACCAATCCCTGTGCCTCCCCTCAGGTCCCCTCCCTTACAAACATCAGCAGACTCTGCTCAGTGCCGATCAGGGGATCCAGTGGACCGCGATAGCGTCCAAAGCTAAGCGGCGTGGAGGCAAGCACAACGAAGAGACAGTTGTTGACGCCGGCAAGGGAAAGAGTGCAGCGGATTGTGGCGCCGATGGGGGTGATGACAGCACAGATGGAGATGATGCAGGTGGTGGTACACAGGAGGGTGTGGCGGCCACACCACAAAATATCTCACAACCACGCGCAGTGTGGAATGAAGCTGAACAATTGCTCTTGGTGAGGTGCAAGATAGATTATGGTATGGAGGAGGAGTCACGCGGCCGGAGCTCAGTGAAGCGGTTCAAATCGAAGGACACTGTGTGGTGCAAGGTAACTGCGCTAATGGCGGAGAGGGGGGTCGTCAAGGAGCAGGACGCCTGTTCACAGAAGTGGGACAGTCTGATGTCGCACATGCGGAGGGTAAGGGACTATGAACGCAAGACGACTTCACGATGTCCACGAAGGTGATGAAGGCAAGGAAGCTGGACTTTGTTTTGAAGCGGAGCGTGTATGATCTGATGTACCCTTTCTACAAGAAGGATCCATCAGTTAATCCGACTAACATCAGCGATGCCGGCGTGCCTTTCGTGCCGTTTTCAAGAAAAAACTATGAAACTTATATGTTTTTATTTTAAATTCAGTAAAGTTTTTGGATATGACCACAAGGCAAAAGTTGTTCAGTATAGTTTTCTGCATATCATATTTTTTTTCACTATGGTTTGATTTTTTTTTATTGTTTTTTTTCATGGCCGCGGACCGCGGCCGTGGCTGCGGGGTCGCGGCCTAGGCCGTGCATGGCCGCCTCCAGGGGGGTTTCATAGTCACCATATGCATATCTTCGTTTTTTTGTGGTATGCACATTGTGCGTGTGAGTGTTGTCATGTTCGCTATACACTCAAAAAAAGCATGAGTGTGCCAGACTCTCGTCGGACTTTGGTCACGTTGGTGTCTGTGTGTGCGTGCATTTGTGTGTGTTCGTGTTTGTGTATGTGTGTGTTTATGTGTGTGTGTGTGTGTGTGTGTGTGTGTGTGTGCGCGCCCGTGTGTG